AGTCTTTCGTCCTGAATTTGCACAGAAGAAAGCGGGTGCCCCGCATGGCCCTCCTGGTGCTGCTGGCAGGATCCCCATGCAGCTTGTCCCTCCCGGATGCCGGCAGCTTGGCTTCTGGACCCGGTAGCCCTCAAGTGGATTTCCGCAGTGCAAGAGCTTTCTTGGGACCTGTCCCGTGTTGCCCTGGTCCTGTCTCCCCTCCACTTTGGGGTGGGGGGAGAGTGGGATCACCAACTACTCGCCAGAAGGGGGCTTACCAAGAAAGCCCGAAAAGCAAAAGCTGTTATTGGACTTCTCGGGCTTGTTCCGAACCTGACGCCCCCTCCCCCGACTCAGCCTGCCGCTACCACATGCTCAGCCTGCTCTGTTGACAAGGTACTGGTGTGTGAAAGAGCAGACTGCCACCCTCCAGCACCTACGCAGATGACAGCCAGTGAGCCTATTAACCGTGCCATCTTGCGAACTACACTTTAAAAAAAATCATTGCTTTGTATTGTAGTAACCAATATGCGCAGTATATGTTGAATGTATATGAATATACTTTCCTATTTCTGTTCTTCGAAAATGTCAGAAATATTTTTTCTTTCTCATTATGTTGAACTAAAAAAGAATTAAAAAATCTACAGATTCCAGTTGCTAAGACCTTTTGTCCTTTTGTGAGCGGGGAACACTTCCAACTTAGAACTGAGTCGAGTGACTATGTTCTGATCACGTGCTGATGCTGACGTGTTATTGGCCTTGAGATTCAGACTGTAGCTGAGAGAAGTGTCCACGCAGGTGGAAGCTGGAACACTGAGGCCTGGGGAGTCCCCGGGCTGCGGGTGAGGCTCTGAGCACTCATTAACACACCTCACCTTATGAAACTAGCATTCTGTAGAAACCTGGACTCAGCTCACACCGTGTCCCTAGACTCCCAGCTTGGACTCTACCCCCTTAGAAGGGAGCGCAGAGTTTGCTAAGTTGGAGAGGAAACATTCTTTGTCAGGCTACTCTGGAACAAGTAGGGGGAAGGAGATCCTCAAAAAGTTGGCACAGGGTGGAGCCTATATGAGGTGACCCCATTCAGCCTGGTGATGTGATGGGCAAATAAGTGATAGGGTAGAAAGAGGACTCCTGCAGTTCTTCTCTTTGCCCTGGACTCCAGAGGGGACAGCTGAATTTCTAACAACGTCCCAAGCGTGGCTAAGAGGTAGCCAGTGGAAGGTCTTATAAGAACACATCCTGACACTGGAAATACTGAGTTTGTAGAGGGGGAGGAAAGTTAACAAAAGCCTTTGAGTCCAGGGGAACCAGAAAGCCACCGCAGGACCATTTAGAACAAAAGATCCTTCTAGAAATCCTCTGCATACACTCCCCCACGCAGGACCAGGTGAGTCTGGACCCAGTGAGGTGCCCAGATGCCTTCCAGTGACGGAGCTCCTGTTGCAGTGGGTGCCACCACCTCCTGAGGTCAACCAGGGCAGGGGTGGAGGGCTTTGGGCTGGAGGTAGGGTGAGCTTCCAGAGACACTGTCTCCTGGTTGCAGAGCTGCCAGTCTCTGAGCTTAAGAAACTGGAAGCCACGCTGGCAGATCCTTCTGCGAGTTTTCTGACTTTGTGCCAGGCCCCACCCCCACTCTGCTGCAAAGATAAGACTTCAGGGAGCTGCTGTGCCTCCCTCGTGATGGTCAAAGATGAGCTGGGTCTTGGCCTTTGTCTCTTAAGAGAAGGGCAGGAGAGGATCTTGGCAGAGTTGGTTACAGTGCTCTGCCTTGGGGTTCTATCAGAAGAGCTGCAACAGAATTGTCAACCAGGAAACGCAGAATCGGGGGTGTCTTCGCTCCCCTGCTCGGTCGAACCTCCCCACCTCAACTCCCACCCTGGTCCTCCCAGGTGTTCTCAGGTGGGATGTCCTGGGCAGGGGCCACTACCAGGCTGATGCTCTGGTTTCCTGAGCCGCCTTCCAAGGCCCGCAGCTTCCCCAGTCTGGTGACCTTCCCTTTGCTGTGCCAGTGTCGCTCATTGAGCAGATGTTTGGTCAGTGTCTATTATGTGCCAGGCCTACCAAGGCACGGAGTCCTCCTGAGGCAGGCAGACCGGGGTGTTGGGACATAAACAGAGAAGTCGCTAATCACGAAGCAAAATCCACTCCCGAGTGGCTACCTGCATCCCACACGTCAGGGGACCCAGTTGAATAACAGCTGCTTTGTAGACGCCCAGGATGGGGAGGAAGAGGGTGGTGGGAATAGGGCTTGGCGTCCGGTCTGCGGGCACTGAGGTCTGCACCCAAAGCCCGATTCTGTGCAGAGCCCAGTTATTAGTGTCTGTAGGCTTCTGTCCAGAAAGCCTCACTTCCTTCCCAGAATATTAGCAGAGGTGTCTGGCGGGGCGTAAGCCAGATGTCTTGCACGAAACGAAGTAGACACTAGGGATAGGTATACTCCGAAAGGAAACAGCGTGCGTGCCGCTGTGCTGTCCCGCAGTGGCCCCACCCTGAGGCCTTGAAATCCTTAACAGGAAACCAAGAAGTACCCAACAGAGTACAAGGACTATGAAGCCAACAGGCCAGAAACCAGGCCGCCTACTTCCCAGCCCTGCCAGCACTCAGTACGAACAGTGGCGGGACATGGGGCAGATCTTAGCAAAGTAAGAAGGTAACCTAGCCTCCAGCCTTATAGGAACATGCTAAATTGATGTGGAAGCGCTCTGACTGCTAAAGAACCATACAAATGTTCGATACTAGTTTTAGCCATAATCTTTTCAGTAACTAAAGAGAAGGGTGAAAATCCTGGAGTCCAACCAGTAAGCTGCTGAGATCCCCATACACTGGCTGAGATGAGTTCTGACCAGCAAAAGAACTTCTGGCCTGATACCTACAAGCTGCCCCATATGGATGGCATCAGCTTCCATCCCTGTCTAAACCACGGACAGCTGGAATGGCCACAGGGCAGCCCAGGTGGACCATTCACCAAGGCCACCTCCCTCTCTGCATGGCCCCACGGGTATCTGAGGCCAGTGTCATCTTGGAAAAGATGTCCCACATCTCATCATCTGCTGGTGAAGGCCAAGTGGAGAAGCAAGGATTCCTTGTTTGCTTCCACTTCTGCTGCCGAGAACTGGGCTATGGGAATTAATGGGTTAGTGCAGCACGGACCGGGGTAGGGGGTGCCAGATAGTTACGGGACCATTCTAACAGTTTTACAGACATGTCAAGATGTTGTGCTTATGGCAACACAGATTCATCACCTTATAGTTGAGGAGGGCTCAGAAGTCCAACATGGGTCACACTGGACGAACCCTGCGTCAGCAGCGCTGTGCTCTCCGGAGGCTCCAGGGGAGACCATGTTCTTTCACCTTTTGTAGCTTCTGGGGAGAAGGAAGCTGCCCTCATCCCTCGACTCATGGCCTCCCCTGAGCAAACTCCTTCCCCTCCCATCCCAGGCTGCCTTCCCTGATTCTAACCCTCCTGCTGCCTGGGGTGTATTTAAGAACCCCTGTGATTACATCCAGCCCACCTGCATAACCCAGGACACCCACCCCCTCGCAGGGGCCTTCATAACTTCTGCAAATCCCTTTTGCCATGTCTGAGATCGGGGGCAGAGCTGAGGATACGTGGGTCTTCAGGGAAGGGGCTCCCACACAGTACCCCCGGCTAGAAGGGAGCTAAGTGACTTGCTCAGAGCCACACACAGCTCGGAAGTGCTAGGGCTCGGTCGAACCCTAAGGTTTTTGAGATCGAAAGCCTTCTTGTGGCATGAGACTGGCTAGAATGGGAAAGGCCTGGAGCCAGCCACTCCCAGGTCTGGCAGAGCAGAGAGCCTGGCTGGTTTCTAGAGAGTTAGGGAGTTTCCTGGAGGGCAGATCTCTGCCCTGGGTCCTAAATCCAGAGATCTGGGTTCCAGGTCCAGCCCTGACTGCATCTCTGAGCGATGACACACGTTGAGCAAATCCCTTCCACTCTTCAGTTCCTCGTCAGGAAGACGGTGGGGTGGGGAGAGGCTGGCTGGTCTCTCGGTTCTTCTCAGCGTGGAAGTTCAAAGTCTCTGTAACTCGGGTGCTGTCCATGACCCGGTGTGCGAGGGCCTGGGCCTTCCACAAGAAACCTTACAAGGCGGCACTGCAGGTGCCAATGTACGCACAGCGTTTCCCACTGGCAGGCTGCCTCTGGGGCCTCCAGTGTCTCTGACTGTGGCGCTCCGTTTTGCAGATAGGAAACTGAGGCCCAGGGTTATGACTTAGCTGGCTCCCGGTCCCCCTCCCCTGAGATGACGCAAAGGGAGATGAGAAACCGCCCTCCTGCCACCTCCTAGTCCAGGGACCCTCCCCTGAGTGTGAGCACAGGGAAACACCAGCAACACAAAGGCACGCATCTTCAGTGTAAGTGCCTGCAATAATGCGACTCCTCTTTGGATGTTAGAAAGTCTCTTCTGTTTTAAAGTGATGGTCACTTTCGATGGTGAGAGTTCTTTTTTGGGGGGAGAAGAGAGGCAACTATCTCTGACAAAATTGAAAGTTGGCAGCTCCCCGTTAGAAGTCTCTGATCTCAGTCTGGGAGCCACTCCTCTACAGTGTCCCCCAGCCGCCACCTTTCCCATTGGTTAGCACTTTGGGAGGTCTCTGCGGGGCCTGGACAGCAGCAGTGGGGACCAGAGGAGGAACAGTGGTGGTGGGAGGTGGGGACAGGGCAGTGGGGGAAGGGAGCCCCTCCCCTGTGGCACAGGCACAATGGAAGGCACTCACACTCCCCTGAGGGGTGCCGATGCCCCCCACCCTGGGGACTGCAAGCCTGAAACCAGTCCCCTCCCGCCCCCATCTGAACCCTTGACCCCTGCCCTGCAGCCCCCACAGCTTCCTGTTTGCCCACTCTATTTGCCCGGCCCTAGGGACGGAGCTGATCCTTGAACTCTAAGTTCCACATGGCCAGGACCAGGGAGCAGTGACTAGGCCCAGCTGGGCTTATCAGCCTCACAGCCCAGCCCCTGCCTGGAGACATAAATAGGCCAGGGGCCAGCTGGCCGCAGGAGACTGCTGGAGAGCTCCAGGAGGCGGGGCAGGTAAGTGCTGCTGCCTACTCCAGGCAGCTGAGGCTCAGGTCCTGCTCCCTGGCAGGCACTGGGGCCGCCCCCCAGGCCTTCTCCCGGGCTGGAAGGCTCCCCCTCTCAGCCAGGCCCTCTTCTCCTCCAGGTCACTCGGCTCCTGCAGGATGAAGGCTGTGGTGCTGACCTTGGCTGTGCTCTTCCTGACAGGTCGGTGCCCCCACCCGGTGTAGGGAGCCCCAAAACCCCAGGGCTCACCCAAGGAGTAGAATTTCTCACTAGGATCCCCCTCCCACATCCCAACCCCTGGCACTCTGGCTCAGAGCTGGCCTAACCCGGGGCTGCCTTCTCACGCCCAGGGAGCCAGGCTCGGCATTTCTGGCAGCGAGATGAACCCCGGTCCTCGTGGGATAAAATAAAGGATTTCGCCACCGTGTATGTGGACACAATCAAGGACAGTGGCAGAGAATATGTGGCCCAGTTTGAAGCCTCCGCCTTTGGAAAGCAACTCAAGTAAGCATGCAGCCCGGCACTGGGGCAGCGGCTGGGGGCAGAGGCCTGCAGGACCAGCTGAGTCCTCACGGCAGGGCCCCACAGAAGGCCCGGCTGGAGAAATGGGAGCGGGCTCCCCCTATCCTAGCACAGGGCAGACCAGTGCTGCCTGCCCACCAGCAGCAGTCCGTGTCCCCTGCTGTCTTCAGGGAGGATAATGGATGGGGTGTGGGGAGGCTTTCGGGACAACCAACACTGGGCACCGGTCCCAGCCGTGCCTCCAGCCTTCTGTACAATGGGACAGGGTGTGGGAGGGAGGTACTGGGTGAGGAAGTGTGTGGAGGGGCCAAGGCGCAAGGCTTCCCTACACATCTGGGGACGGGTGGGGCTCGTGGGCTCACCCAGGTAGGCAGGGTGCGAGGCTCCTGGGGGCAGTCCCAGGTGCCTGGAAGGGTCCCCCCTCAGCGCCTTGTGTCTGCCTCCAGCCTGAAGCTCCTGGACAACTGGGACAGCCTGAGCAGCACCGTCAGCAAGCTGCAGGAACAGCTCGGCCCCGTGACCCAGGAGTTCTGGGATAACCTGGAAAAGGAGACAGAGGGGCTGAGGGAGGAGATGAACAAGGATCTGCAGGAGGTGAGGCAGAAAGTGCAGCCCTACCTGGACGAATTCCAGAAGAAGTGGCAGGAGGAGGTGGAGCGCTACCGCCAGAAAGTGGAGCCCCTGGGCGTGGAGCTGCGCGAGAGCGCGCGCCAGAAGCTGACCGAGCTGCAGGAGAAGCTGAGCCCGCTGGCCGAGGAGCTGCGCGACAGCGCGCGCACCCACGTGGATACACTGCGCACGAAGCTGGCGCCCTACAGCAACGAGCTGCAGCAGCGCCTGGCCGCGCGCCTCGAGTCCATCAAGGAGGGCGGCGGCGCCAGCCTGGCCGAGTACCAGGCCAAGGCCAGGGAGCACCTGAGCGTGCTCAGTGAGAAGGCCAGGCCTGCGCTGGAGGACCTCCGCCAGGGCCTGCTGCCCGTGCTGGAGAGCTTCAAGGCCAGCGTGCAGAACGTCCTGGACGAGGCCACCAAGAAGCTGAACACCCAGTGAGGTGCCTACCGCCGCCCCCGCTCCCCCTTCCAGCATGCGGCGTCTTAGAATAAAGTATTTTACAACTTGGGAGCAGCTTCTCTCTCTGGGGGGAATGGAAGTGGGGTGGCGCTGGAGGGGCAGCCTGGGCTTTGGCTCCCAGAGCAGGGCAGCTGTGGGACCTGCCCTTGGCTGCTTGGGAGTGAGGGAGGGCCAGGCAGAGCGACAGCCCAAGGCCAAGTGCCCCGCAGGAGGCTCTAACAACAGGTGCTTCAGGCCTCCCTGAAGAGGCTCCGGGAACAGGGTGGGCTCTGCTGGGAGAATCGGATTCCCTGTCCCCAGAGATGTTGAATGTAAGCCGGGCATGTGAAGACATCCACCTGGGCAGGGGACAGGCACCTTTGCCGGCCCTCTGTCTCTAAGCCAGCTGGGGCGGGCCCTTAAGAAGCCACTGGGACTTGAAGGATTTGGGCAGGAGCAAACAAGCTGCTTGTATTTATAAAAATGCTTGAGGGGCCAGCATTGTGGTGCCGTGGATTAAGCCACTGCCTATGACTCAGGCACCAAATGTGGTCTCCAGATGGAGTCCCAGTTGCTCCGCTTCTGATCCAGCTTCCTGCTAACGTGCCTGGGAAAGCAATGGGAAATGGCCCGAGTCCTTGGACCCTTGCACCCAAGTAGGAGACCTGGAAGAAGCTCCTGGTTCTTGGCTTCAGCCTGGCTCAGCTCCCATCATTGCAGCTATTTGGGGAGTAAACAAGCTGATGGAACATCTCTCTCTCTCTCTCTCTCTCTCTCTCTCTCTCTTTCTCTGTCTCTGTGTGTGTGTGTGTGTGTCCTCTCTGGAACTCTGCCTTTCAAATAAATAAATAAATCTTTAAAGAAAAATGCTTAAGCAAACCCTTCCCTTTTCTTTTTCTCAAGGTTAGTACCCCTCCTCCCACCCTTCCTAGAAGCAGGCACAGGTGTAGAAGCACCCTACCCATGCCGCTGCCAGGGCTCTGGCGGCACTTGGCAGTCGGAAGAACCTCCACCACCTCTTGCATGTGATCAGCACAGTTGATTTCTACGATGTTTCATGGCCATCGTCTCGTCGCACCCTCCCCTATCCTGGGTAAATGGCCTTCGTGTCCACGTCACAGGTGGTGAAGCCACAGCCGGCAGATGTGAGTGTGCTCACCAAGTCAGAGGCAGGATGGGCTTTGCTGCCCTTTGTAGACTTATCCGCCCCTGGGCATCCATGATTATATTTTAAAAAGTGGATGGCCAGGCGCTCAAGTTCATACGGCTGTGCACACAGGGAGGCCTGCTCTTCCACTCGGCTCCTGCCTGGCCCACGTGCACGCGTGTGCCGTCCCAGTGCTGGGCAGTGCCTCTCCCTGCAGGCCGCTGGGCGATCTGCTCCTTCCCCATCTCCCCTCCCCTCCCCACCTCAACAGTCGCTTGGATGAAGGAGCGGGCTCTTTAGCTCCCAACCATGCAGAATAATAGGTGTCACGCTATTCACGGGAACATCTTCCAGGTGTCCTGCTGAGATCCCTGGCGCTAGCAGGGCCAGAAGAGAAGCCCAAGTGGATTTCCAGAGAGAAAGCCACCTCCAGGCGGGGTGGATGTACTGAAGCCGCCGAGATCTGTTAGGGAGCACCCCCAATGCCCGGCATAGGGGTAACAAGGCTTTTTTTCCTGTGCCTCCTGAGCAGAACCGGGCAGCTGACACGGGCTCCAGGTCCAGCCCTGCCATTCACTGCCTCTGTCTTTGCATCCGGGGAGTGTTGTGTGGGGGTGTGAGGTGCTGTATGGTTCTAGAACTCTCTGACGGGAGCATCTGGGGTGCGGATGAGACAAGAGAAGCAGCCCCTGTTGGGGTGACCTTCTCTTCCTTCTTGGCTCCCAAGACACTGGGCCTCCACGCCAGGCCTGGTCCCAAGGGGCCCATCAAGCTCAAGTATACCAGTGACTGCCATTACTAGGCTGCCGCGGGAGTGCGGGCGCTTGGCCACGGCGTTCAATCGCTCTCTCATTTCATTCTTACAGCGAACCTGCAGTGAGGGGGCGATTCCTGGAGCTGCTTTACAGATTTGAAATGGAGGCCAGGACCACAGCCTGACTGTGTCTTACCCCAACCACTGCCCTGCCCTGCCTCCTTCCCCAGGGGCCCGCACAGGGCGGGTCAGCTTCAGGGTCTCGGTGAATCCAGAATGCCAATGCTGATGACGTCAAAAAGGCTCCAGGCACAGTGTCTGGCTTAGAGTACATACCGAGTCACACGGCACAGCACTTGACGGTTTAGCAAAGTACTACCAACCCCAGTATTAGCCCATTGCCTCTTCCACACAAACCCAGCAAGGCAGGCAGAATAAGCAGGCTTACCCCGACTTTATGCATGAAGCAACTGGCCCCAGAGACCACCAGGCCACTAGGAGGTGGATGCAGCACTAGTGCCAGGCCCACCCACGGAACAGCCCAGCACCTTCCCATGCCCAAGCACACACGGCACGCGTGGGACATCCCGCTCTCCGCGGCTTCTCGTCCAGCTTTATTGGGAGGCAGTATGCTTGGAAGTGAGCCAGGTCGGGGGGGGGGGGCGAGGGGGCACTGAGGTTACTGTCCCTTCAAGCCACGCGTGGGGACAGCTCTGGAGCCCACGGGAGCCAGGGCAACGGCGGGACGGATGGGCAGGCAGACTGCGGGTGCTGAGGTCTCAGACAGCCTCAGACGCCTGGGTCGGACTGGCCTCAGGGCTCAGGTCCCAGAACCCAGAGAACTTGTCCGCAAACGTGCTCAAGTAGCCTTTCAGGGAGCTGATGCCAGCGTCCACCCAGCCCCTGGGGTTGAATAAGAGGAAGCAGCAGAGGAGGGGGTGAGAGCTCATCTCTGGCACGCAGGTCCCCACCCTCACGCCCACCGGCTGTCCCCACCACTGGCCCTGAGACCCGGTGGCAGCTGGCCTGGAGGGCAGGGAAGTGAGGGCCCGAGGGTGTACCTGGCCTGCTGGGCCATTTGGGACTCCTGCATGCTGCTCAGCGCGTCATGGGCCGTCTTGGTGGCGTGTTGCACATAGCCCTGCATGACGCTGAGAAGGGAGGCGTCCTTGGGGTCCTCGGCCTCCATTGCTCCTGCAGGGACACTGTGGCTGAGCAGGGTGGGACTGGTCCCGGGGCCTCGGGCTCCCCAAGCCATCACAGTCTCCCCAGGTGGCCTCAGCCCAGTCCCCCACAAAGTGCTTACGGGCAGAGGCCAGGAGCGCCAGGAGGGTGACAACCAGGAGCAGCCAGGGACGCATGGCGGCACCTCTGTTCCTGCAGGGAGGAAAGTGGAGTGTGAGGGGCACCCCAGCACCCCCCCCACCTGTGCACCCCTTCCTGGGAGCGGTGCGGCCCCTAGATGGATCTCAGCTGGGTGAGCCAGAGAAGGGGAAGCCAGACAGGGGGCTTTGGAGACCGACCCCGGTCGGGGGCAGTGGTGGGGGTGGAAAAGAGAAACCCATTAGACGGGGAGTGTGGACACCCGGGCCAGCCCCGTCTGCCGCTAGCACGCTGTGTGGCTGTGGATGGGCGTCGGCCTCTCCCCGGGTCGCAGGTTTCCTGTGTGGGTGGCACCAGCGTGTTTAAGCCCTCTCCAGCCCCAAGCGTGCAGAGCCAGAGGAAAGTGCGTGCACGTGGAGCCAGCTCCCGTCCCAGCTCTGCCACTGCCCTCTACGTGCTTTAAGCAAGCGACTGCTCCCCTTCCCGGCCTCAGTTTCCCCCAGGATGCCGTCGGGAGTGGAGGAGCCTCCTCAGGTCCAGAGGCTTCCCTGGCTTCTCTCCAGGCCTGCTGGCTGGGCGGACAGGTTGCCCGCCTCCCGGTCCCTCGCTGGCCTCCATCCCCCGCCTCCTCCCCAGGGGCATTACCTGGAGCCACTGCTTCTGGGGATGAACTGAGTAGAAGCCCAGCAAGAGGCTGCCGGCCTGTTTTTATACTGCCCCAGGACAGCGGGCACCGAGGGCCCAGTGAGCCGGGCAAAGGTCGCCTGCTTACCAGTGGAGGCCGGGGCCGGAGCCAGGGTCGCCGGAGCAGCCAGGGGCCGAGCGAGTTGGGAAATCCCTGGAAGACCATTGCCCATGATGCTCGGTGCCACCCCTGCAGCCCACATGGGCTGGGCAGCTTATGCATAGGCCTGGGGAGACCCCATCCCTTCTAACAGACAGGCTCCCCCAGGAGGGGCTGGGGAGTCGGGGGAGGACTTAGGGGACAGGCCGGAGGCCTTGAGTGCATCTCAGCCGCTCCCACATGAGTTTTCTGGCCCCTCTCCCCCACCGTCCCCTGAGCCCTGCAAACAGCCTGGGTGGGTGGCCAGGGCAGGCAGGAGGTGGGGGTCGAGGACTTCTGCAGGCCCAGAGAACAGCTCTGGGGGTGTTCAGAGCTAAGGCCACAGCATGGCGCTGCTGGGCGACACAGCTGCTGGGCCCCATGGCCCCTTCCCCAGCACCTCTGGCTGCCCCCGCCCCCGCTGGGCCAGGGCAGGGGTTGGTGGGAGAAGAGCAAAGGCCACTCTGAGCCCGAGGCCTTTGTCCCCCACCCCCACGCCCGTCCCACACATCTCCCCTTGCCCTCTGGACCCACTGATAACACTCCTGGCCAGGAGCTCAGCTCATGCCTGCCACTGACTCTCTCCCTTGGGCCTCAGGTCCCTGCGCTCGGCCCCCACCGCTGAGCAGAGGACAAGGCGAGCTCTGCGGCGACTGCTGGGCAGGAGAGACCTCCAGCCCTTCTCGGGGCCAAGGTGTCCGCTGGGCCCACGCTGAGAGCCGCAGCGGGGATGGCAGGGCTGGGCCCTTTGTCCTCTGGATGCTGGGGCTTTGCAGTCAAGAAATCCTACATGGAAATGTTGCCTTGGGCTTACTCATGCTCTCCATGGCCAGAGGTCTAGCGGCTCAGCCTCAATTTTCTCCCCTGTAAAATGGGGACCAAATACGCATTTCCAAGGGTTGTGGTGAGGAATACATGAGAGGTGGACGATGAGGCTGCTCTGGGCAGGGTCCTGGCGAGCCTTCCGCCTTCCTCCAGCTACTGCGCCCCGCCTTCTGCTCCGGAGGCCGGAGGAGCCACCAGTGTGACAAGGATTTGGGTGGGCAGCAGCTCTCCCACACCGTGGAACCAGAGGCCTGGCCTTACCCTCAGCATTCCTTATCCATGGCAGGGACCTCAAATTCTTCTGTCAGAGACTCATTCCTCGGACTTAGGACTGTGTCTGCTAAAACGCATTGTGGCACAGCTGCTCAAGCCGAGGCTCGGGACGCCCACATTCCCTATCTGAGCACCTGGTTCAAGTTTCCACCACTCCGCGTCCGACCCAGCAGCCTGCTGATGCTTCCTGGGAGGCAGCAGGTGGCAGCTCAAATGCTTGAGTCTTTGCTACCCATGTGGGAGACCTGGATGGAGTTCCAGGCTCCTGGCTCCAGCCTGGCCCAGCCCCGGCTGTTGCAGGCATTTGGGAATTTACCCAATAGCTCTTTCTCTGTGTTGCTCTGCCTTTCAAGTAGATGAGAACAAACACTGGTTTTAAATGCCCTGTAATCCTGTTCTGGAAACATTATCAGCCCCTTTGTATAGGTGAGAAAGCTAAGGCTCAAAGGGCCAGGAAGCTCCCCGGGTGCACAGTTCCACTTTCCTGCCAGTGACAAGTGGGAACCAGAATCCAGGTCTTCCAACGCCCAGGGGGACAGGACACATAGGCAGCAGCAGTCACCGGCACCTCAGAGCTGGGCCAGGGGGCGGGGGCGGCCACTGGGAGCGCCTCCCCTTCTGTGGCAGCCTGCCCCTTAGCCCTGGAGGTGCGGGGCTCTGGGGGAGCTGGACTCCCAGCTGGGGTGGACGATGAGGTTCTAGTCTCGGTCGGGGTGCCGGATTCTGTCCCGGTTGCCCCTCTTCCAGGCCAGCTCTCTGCTGTGGCCCGGGAGTGCAGTGGAGGATGGCTCAAGTGCTTGGGCCCTGCACCCCATGGGAGACCAGGAGAAGCACCTGGCTCCTGCCATCGGATCAGCGCGGTGCGCCGGCCTCAGCGGCCATTGTGGGGTGAACCAATGGAAAAGGAAGACCTTTCTCTCTGTCTCTCTGTCCACTCTGCCTGTCAAAATAAATAAATAAATAATAAATAAATAAATAAATAATTTTAAAAAGTAATAAAAAACAAGCCCACAGGCTCTGGGATGTAACCACATGCATTAATGGCATCACAACCCCCTGCGCCAGGGGGCAGCATGCCCTCCCCATGCATGTGGCCACATGCACAGGCCACGCCAGGTCCCCCCCTGTCGGCACACTTGGTGAGTCTGTAGCCCTGGTAGAGTCTCCTGGGCATGCGCCTGTAGCGCAGGTGCTCCCAGAGGCTGCGTGCAAAAGGGCAGGCGGGCCAGACGAAGCACCTCTGGACCTGTCCCATGCTGACGGCACCTGCTTCTCAGACTGCAAGGCCGGGAGGTCAAATTGCAGCTGAGGTGTCCTTCCTGACTCACTGTCCCTGTCAGCTCTGGCCCCGGGGAAAGGGTGGGGCACTGAGCACCAACCTCTGCTGCCAGCCCAGGCTGGACTGTGCCCGATTCTGGACAGCCAACAGTACAGGAGAGTGAGCCAATCAGGAGTAAACACACACTGTTTAATGAGCACTTACTACGGCCAGCCCGGTTGCAAGCATGACACAGATGATGCCACCGCATTGGCAGCGCCCATGAGACGTGGTCTGTGTCACATCCCATGGAGGCACAGACCTTCTGTGCAGGGTCCCAGATGCAAACCCAGGGAGTCTGAACTCAGAAACTACCAAGAACCACCACAAACCGCCCAGGAAGGAGTAGCCCGTAGATACTGGAGGCAACCAGGACAGGGTGGGGACCGCTGCTGGGTAGTGGGAAACCTGCAGAAAGGGGGCTGGTGACAGAGGCCTTCCAGCTGACTTAGGGAAGCCGTGGTGACTTGGGGTCAGCATAGCCGGGATCTCCTCCGCTGGCTCTCAGCTCACAGAGGCCCAGGGCGCTGTGCTGCCGCGCAGGCGCAGTCACCAGGCGAGGCTGTGATTCGGCAGAGCAGCCCACCCTGGCCGCAGGGTGTTGTCTTCTCAGCTGGTGCGTGCGACCTCAGCAGAGGACACCATCAGATGTCTAAGGAGGAGAACTTCCAGCACCAGCCCTGCCCACTCCGTGCCCAGATGACAGGGCCCCTGAGGGCCTCAGGTCCAGAGGTCTGCTCAAGCAGAATGCTCCTGCCCAGCGTGTGTGGCTGGTGAGTCAGGGCAGCCATCAGGCCTCAGGCTGTCGCTCGGCTTGAGTCCCCTTTGCAACCCTCAGAAGGCGGGGTCTCACTCTGCCAACGCTCCCTCTACCGCACTCCCTGTTTTTGTCCAAATCAAGAAAGCAGTAGGGCCAGCGCTCTGGTGTAGCGGGTAGAGCCGCCGCCTGCAGTGCCGGCGTCCCATATGGGCACCACTTTGAATCCCAGCTGCTCCACTTCTGATCCAGCTCTCTGCTGTGGCCTGGGAAAGCGGTAGAAGATGGCCCAAGTCCTTGGACCCCTGCACCCATGTGGGAGACCTGGAAGAAGCTCCTGGCTTTGAATTGGTGCAGCTCCAGCCATTGCAGCCAACTGGGGAGTGAACCAGAGGATGGAAGACCTCTCTCTCTGCCTCTCCTTCTCTCTCTCTGTGTGTAACTCTTACTTTCAAATAAACAAAATAAATCTTTAAAAAAAGAAAGCAATAGGGGTCGACGCTGTGGCTCACTTGGTTAATCCTCCACCTGTGGCGCCGGCATCCCATATGGGTGCCGGGTTCTAATCCCGGTTGCCCCTCTTCCAGTCCAGCTCTCTGCTGTGGCCTGGGAGGGCAGTGGAGGATGGCACAAGTGCTTGGTCGCCTGCACCTGTGTGGGAGACCAGGAGGAAGCACCTGGCTCCTGGCTTCGGAGCGGTGCAGCTCCAGCCATTACGGCCAATAGGGGAGTGAACCAGCAGATGGAAGACCTTTCTCTCTGTCTCTCTCACTGTCTAACTCTATCTATCAAATAAAAAAAGAAAGCAATAATAATAATAATAACTTTGAAGCACTCTATGACCCAATTCACAAGCAACATCTCATTTAATGTGTCTGACCGCCCCATTGCTCAGAGGAGAAACTGAGGCTCAGGGCTTTGAATAATTGGACCAAGGTGGCCCAGCGTGGCAGTGGGGGACACTCATAAGCACCCCTCCAGGCAGGACTCTGCCTGCCTTGCCCCTGCCCAAGGGATCTCAAGAGCCCCACCCCCCAGACACCTCAACAGCAACCTGGCTCTCGGTTCACTGCCCCATCTGCAGCCCTGTATGGTCCCAGTCCAGTGTCTGCTGCTGGCATGGAGTCAGGGTTGGTGGCAGATGTGGGGCTGGGGGAGGGAGGTTTGTGCACTTGGGCAGACAGAGGAGGAGTGGACTTTACCCCACAGCGTGGCACAGAGCCAGAGCTGTCATCAGGACCCCCGGGGCATCCGTCCCAGGCCCAGGGGCTCCAAAGGCCGTGCTTCCCCCACGGCCCTTGGCTGCCCCTCCTGCCCTTCACGCTGGGTGGGGCAGGGCCACATGCTGTCCCTGGCTGCTGCCTAAGCCCGGGTCTGCTGTCAGCTTCCACGTAGCCTTAGAGTCACTAAAGTCCAAGAGGCCTGGGAATGTGTCACCTTCCACGTGGAGTCACAGGGGAGAGGGAGGCGGGGAGGCCACCTCAGGGGCTTTAAATGGCTGGCTGGCTCCGGCTCCGAGCACAGCAGCACAGGTGCACTGCCTGAGGTCCTCTCCTCAGGTCCCCTCGGGCTTCGGGAAGGATCCAGGGCAGCACAAGACCCCTGCAGTAGAGCGCGGAGCCCAACATGTTCCTGAAGGCTGTGGTCCTGACCCTGGCCCTGGTGGCCTTCACCGGTAAGTAGAAGCTGACTTCGGAGGGGCTGCAAGGAGTGGGCAGAGTGGAGAGGCTGGGCCTGGGGCTGCCATTTGCCAGCTGGCTCCCTGCAGAGCTGGCCACATCCCCACGGCCGGGCAGGCCCACCAGCACAGCGCTCCTACCAGTTGCACCTGTGCCTGTGGCTGCCGATGAGCTGAGCCAGGACGGGAGAGAGTGGATGGGGCTCTCCTACCATCACCCAGCCAGCCTGCAGCCCAGAGCCGGGGCAGAGAGCCCGGGAGGGAGGCAGGCCCACACAGACTGTTCTCTGTTCCCTGCCCAGGTGCCCAGGCTGAGGTCAGCGCGGACCAGGTGGCCACTGTGATGTGGGACTACTTCTCGCAGCTGAGCAACAATGCCAAGGAGGCTGTGGAACAGCTCCAGAAGTCGGAGCTCAGCCAGAAGCTCAAGTAAGAGGGGTGCAGCTGGCGGACTGGGGCTCTTAGAGGTCACGCTGTGCACTGGCCTGGGCTGAGTTTAGGGGCAGCAGCTGGGGGCTCAGGGCACACAGGTGCACTGCCTCAGGCTGGCTCTCCGGACCTGGGATCAGACTGAATTACCCCAAAGGCACCTTCCTGTAGTGACGATCTAGGGCTTCACACATCCTACCACCGAGGCTCATGACAGAAGGGATGCGAGCGAGATGTCACATGAACTGGCTCCTGACGCACTCCAGAAGGAGAGATCCCATGAAAGGAGGGGTAGTGGGGACACTGGGGAAGTCTCTGGGCCCAGGCAGGGAGCCGGCCCCTTGCTCTGCAGAGGGGTGAGCACAAGCTTCGATCTCGCAGTGGGAGCCCAGGTTGCAGTACACCCTATTCCAGAAGGACCTCAAAGTCCAATCCTAATGCAAACAAGGAGGAAAAGCAAACTGCTAAAGGTCACAGGTTAGGAGCTAGTGGCACTGGGGCGCCCTGGGAGCCCGGGAGAGGCAAACTCAGTGCCCATTGCCTCCATGCTCCGACCTCATATCCCCACCACCACCACCGGGGGCAGCTGCTGGGATAGGATGCGTGAGGTCGGGGCCCCTGCTCACTCACCTGTCCCAGGCCGGTGCAGGCCAGCGCTCCACAAGCGGCCAACCTCTTGTGCCCTTCCTCCACAGCAACCTCTTCCAGGACAAGCTCGGGGAGGTGAACACGTACGCCGATGACATGCAGAAAAAGCTGATGCCCTTCATCGTGGACCTGCAGGAGCGCTTCACGAAGGACTCGGAAAAGCTCAAGGAGGAGATTCGGAAGGAGCTGGAGGACCTGCGCGCCCAGCTGCTGCCCCGCGCCCAAGAGGTGAGCCAGAAGATCGGGGACAACATGCAGAGCCTGCAAGAGCTCCTGGCACCCTACACGACCGAGCTGCGCACACAGGTCAACGCGCAGGCCGAGCAGCTACAGCACCAGCTGGCCGGGTACACGCAGCGCATGCAGACCACGTTCCACGAGAACATGGGCAACCTGCAGGCCTCCCTGACACCCTACACCGACGAGCTCAAATCCAAGATCGACCAGAAGGTGGGGGAGCTCAAGGGGCACCTCACGTCCTTCGCCGACAACCTCAAGACCAAGATCGACCAGAACAAGGAGGGGCTGCGCATCAGCCTGGCCCCCTACACGCAGGACATGCAGGAGAAGCTCAACCACCAGCTCGAGGGCCTGGCTTTCCAGATGAAGAAGAACGTGGACGAGCTCAAGGCCCAGTTCTACGCGAACGCCGAGGAGCTGCGGGGGCAGCTGGTGCTGGCGGCCGAGGACGTACGCAGCAAGCTCAGCGGCAATGGCGAGGGGCTGCAGAAGTCGCTGGCGGAGCTGAGCGGCCGCCTGAGCAGGCAGGTGGAGGAGTTCCGCCGCAAGGTGGAGCCCTACGGCGAGACCTACAACAAGGCCTTGGTGCAGCAGGTGGAGCAGTTCAGGCAGATGCTGGGCCCCTATGCGGGGAACGTGGAAGGCCACTTGAGCTTCTTGGAGAAGGACCTGAGGGACAAGGTCAGCTCCTTCTTCAGCACCATGAAGCAGAAAGAGATCCAGGACACACCCCCGGCCGACGCCCTCCCGGGGCAGGGGCAGGAGCAGGTGCAGGCACTCCCACTGGCCCCCCTGGAGAGCTGAGCTGCCCCTGGTGCCCTCGCCCCCGTCCTCCCGGCACCTGCCCTGCCCTGCCACCTGTCTGTCAGTCTGTCCCAAAGCACTTCTTGTATGAGCTTGAGGACACGTGTCCGGTGGGAAGTGACGCTCCCTCTCACTATTCAATAAAGCCTCTGAGACGCTAGGCCGGTCTGGTGTGGGACTCCTTGCGGCCCGCCTGCGATGGGGAGGAGGCCACCACTTGGCAAGGCTTTGGGGGAGACTGGGGGCCGGGGAGACCATGGGGAGAGCAGGAGAGGGTGTGCTGGGGAGGGAGATGGGAAAATATGTCGCATGTTATCCAAAGACAAAACAGATAACCCAGGTGTTCACCTGCCCAACAGTATTCACTGACGGGTCTCAGTGTGCCAGTCATTGTTCAGGCCCCGGACAATGGGCAAGCAGCTTTTATGGAGCTGTGTGCCTGACTCGGGGCTTCCCACAGAGGGGTTACCAAGAGACGAGCAGGACATGGTTTCTGGCCTCCGAGAGCTCCTGGTCCCGTGGTGGGGACTGCCCTTCCTCGCAGATGAAGTTCTGTGCCCTTGCTTGATTTATTTATGCCAAGTGTAGGTTAGCCCAGCCCAGCCCATCCCCATTATACAAGTGATGCATGTTTGTTTCTGTAACCCTGACTTTCAAATGAATAAAATAAATCTTTATTTTAAAAAATGAAACCTCAGGAGTGAGTAGCTGAATCTTCTCTGTAGGACACAGGCCTTACAGCAGGTGCGACAGAAGCTCTGACACCTCCAGAGCATAGGGCTTGCCCAGGGCACCCCAGTGCTTTGCTAGGCAGAGTTCCAGCCACACCCCTCCACACCCCCCCAAGCTCAGAGGTCAGAAATGCTCTGGGGACGTCAGAGGGGTCACTACCCCTGAGGTCTCTAGTGCCTGAGTGGCCCTGGCCAGGGCAAGGGGAGGAGGCTGGAGACCCGTTCTGCTGTACCCGCCAGCCTGGCTGCTCTGGAGGGAGTTCCTGACAGGATCAAAAGCAGCTCCTGGTGTGGGGACGCTGTGTCCTCCTGCCATTGTCCTAGGACACTCTGTGCTCCCAGCACGAGGGGTGCACACAGTGGTTTGCTCCGAGGAGAGAAACAAGCTTGGAGTTCCATGGGGACTCTGCGTTCCTGTGACTGACAGTCGGAGGGCGGGACCATGGCTGTCTGCCTTGCTGTGTGATGGCAACCCCAGGCTCGCCTGCGTCAGCGAGTACGGGTTTGAGCTGCTGGGCCTGAGACGGCCGATCAGTGATGGGACCTGCGGGCCTAGGGTCTGAACCGCACCTGTGTGGGGCATTGGGATTGCAGGGGTGCGCCTGCTCTCAGTCCAGCTCTTTTGCCATCCCCTCCAGCAAGTGATCATGACTGCATTTGAATAAACAGCCTCTTGGGCTCCGGCCACCTGCTTCTTTGTTCATCATTTCTTTGAGTCCATTTTCTGTTGCTTCCTGACATTGGGTGAGGTTGTTTAGCTCACAGTTCTGAAAGCCAAGAGCGTGGCCCTGGCACTGGCTGGCTCTGGTGAGGGTCTTCTGGCTGCATCACAGTGGCAGTGTGTGTGAGAGGGAGAGATCACATCGGGAGACTTGAAGCCAAAGACGTCCAGGGCCAGGCTGGCTCTTTTGATAACAACCCGTCTGCGTGGTAACCAGCCAGGACCCCTCAAGAAGAAACAGTCCCCTCTGGGGGTGGCTCCCCGAAAGGCCACCTCTCAGCCTTGCTCACTAAGGACCGAGCTCCCTGCACGTGAACCTCTGGGGCCAACCTCAGGGAAGCCCCAGCATCACTGTGGCTATAGAGGGGGTCCCTGGAGCCTCACTGACAGAGTTCACTTTGTGCGGCTCCTGGGTGTTCAGCAGGCTGTCGCGGAAGTCCCGCTGATGGAGTCCCGAGGCTGGGTCCTAAAGGGTGTCGTGGCTCTCTTTGGCTTGCTCTTGCGTCACTTGTTCTGAGGGAGGACAGCTGCCTTGTCATGAGGACACTCAAGCAGCCCCATGGAGCCGTCCCTGCGGGGAGCATCCTGCCCCAACAGCCTGCAGGTCCTCCAGCCTCAGTCACACCTGCAGGTTACTGGAGCCCCAGGCAACATTCGGCTTGCAACCTCATGTGGGACCCTCACCCAGAAACACAGCCACACTGAGGCCCTGAAGAAACTGCCAGTCAGGGCCGGGCATTTGGACTAGCGGTTGAGACTCTGAGATGCCCGTATCCCACGTTGGAGTGCCTGGGTTTGTGTCCTGATTCGAGCTTCCTGCTAAAGCAGAACCTGGGAGGCAGCAGGGGTGGCTCATGTTCTTGGGCCACTGCCACTAACATAGGAGACCAGGACTGACTTCCTGGCTCCTGGCTCCAGCTTGCACCAGCCCAGTTTGGCCGTTGCAGTCATTTGAGGAATGGAACTCAGTCTATGTCTTTCAAATAAATAAATAAATAATCTATTTAAAAAGTTAAAAGACAATGCAGGAGATTGCAAATGTCTACTGCTGTGCTAAGACACTAAGTTCTGGAGAGACTTGTTATGCAGCAACAGCTGACTGGTACAGAGCCTGGCACGTGGTCGCCACTCCACTGCCCAGCAAACAAATCCTGCTTAGCACAGGATCTTCCACTGAGGCGATTTACCATCTCTCACCCTGATCCATCCCGTCTTTGGACGATCCTGTGAAGATGACTCAAACTAAACAGGCCCGGGGCCGGCACAGTGGCTCAGCAGCTTAAAGCCCCAACCTGCGGTGCCAGCATCCTAAAAGGGTGCCAGTTTGAGTGCCAGCTGCTCCACTTCCGGTCCAGCTCTCTGCTGTGGCCTGGGGAAGCAGCAGAAGATGGCCCAAGTGTCTGGACCCCTGCAGCCACGTGGGAGACCCGGAGGAAGCTCCTGGCTCAATGCTTTGGCATGGCCCAGTCCTGACTTTTGCCAGATGGGGGATGGAAGATCTCTCTCTCTCTCTTTTTCTTTTTGTTTCTCCTTCTCTCTCTCTCTGTAGTTCTGCCTTTCAGATAAATAAATAAATCTTAATAAAAACTAAATTGTTTCTTTCCACTACAGCTTCCGTGTTGTGTTCTTATTTGTACTCCTCTGCTCTAAAATTATTAAAATTTACCTGGAAGCTTCCTCAGCACATTTCCTTCACTTTGATCTTCCTTTCAATTCTCCTTTAGCCACAGGATAAGCATCCTCCTGCACCAGGGATCCAGGTGGGTCAGGCCCTCCGACGTTGGAACCACCAGGCTAAGCGCCTGCTCCCAAGCTCCCTTGTAGATGTTCATTTGTCTTTATCACTCTGAGTATCTTTCATGTCAGTATCTTTCTTCAAATGGCCGGTAATCCTCCCTTGGTTGTTCACATTTGAAGAATGGATGGGGGGTGATATAAAGGTGGTTTGAAGCTCCAAGTACAAGGTGAGTGCTTGCCAATCGAGAACTCCACTGGAGGGGGAACTGCAGCCATGCGTAGCTGGAGAACCCCCAGTGGCAAAACCCTGAGGTCTTTCCCCTGAGCTGGTCATGTTCTGCTGACAAGTTTCTCCATTCTCCCGCCTGGAGGGTAAGGGCCTGGGTGTGTGTTCTTGGGGCCAGAGAAGCAGCAGAATGGGGGCTCGTTCATGCGTTCAAAGGGTGAACTTGGGTTCAGTCCTTCTGTGTCTAGCGCAGGACTCCTGCCCTTGACACTGCTGGCATTGCTCTTTTTCTTTTCTCCACTCCTCTACCAAGGCGAGAGAGGGGAGCTGGAGCTCCAGTCTCTCCTTACATCACGTCAACTAACCTCTCGTTAGCCTTCTCATTCACCTCAACTGTCAGGGGTACCCGGTACCTCGGGTTCAGGGCTGTCTCGGATGTGCAAGCCCCCTTCATGTGGGAGACACTATGGATGAATATATTTGATGTGACAAACCGCTGGCCACTGTCTGTGGAACTCCCCGAGAAGGAGGAGGCGAGTTGTAATCCACAGGCAGGTGCCACATGGACATACAGCAGCTCCCGTGCTCTCCTTCAATTCCTCAGTCTTTTGCGATCCCAGGGTGGGGTGGGGCGGGGCGGAGGGGGGCCATAAATCACGCTGCTGCTATCTTTGTCCACGACAGCTTGAGACCAGCATCTTCAGACCTCTGCTAAATTAGTGGCAACTGTGCTGTCTGCTTTCTAGTTTCCAAAAATGTGGATGCAAGTCTTTTCTTCCAGTCTTCTGGAAGGCTACAGCTTTTCTTTTCTTCCTTTTTTTCTTTTAAAGATTGATTTATCTATTTGAAAGTCAGAGTTACAGAGGAGAGGCAGAGAGAGAGAGAGAGAGAGAGAGAGAGAGAGAGAGAGAGAGAGGTCTTCTATCTGCTGGTTCACTCCCCAGTTGGCCACAACAGCCAGGACTGGGTCAGACTGAAGCCAGGACCTGAAGCTTCCACCTCCTCTCCCAAGTGGGCACAGATATTTGGGCCACCTACTGCTGCTTTTCGCAGGCCAGTAGCAGGGAGCTGCATTACAGGTGAAGCAGCCAGCCCCTATATCCTTTCTTTAAAACAAGACAAAACAAAACAAAAAAACTTTTCACTATAGTTTTAGGAGAGTTTCAGGAAAAAAAAAAAGTGAAATTAAACACATACATTCAATCTGCCGTGTTTATCTGAACAGCCACAGAAGTAGCACAGAGACTGCTGGTGGGTTTGTGGTACAGAGGCCACGCCGCTGCGGCCTCCCTCCCCTGGAGGGCTTCAGTGTGGAGAGGGATCTGCTTGCCCTGAGAACACTCTTCAATTTAAAACTTATCTGAAAATAAATAAATAAAATTTATCTTAAGAAAATAATCGTGAGGTTCATGCATTTAGCTGTAAGGATATTCACTGCATTGTCATTTATAATTTCAAAAGTTGAATACCATGTAAATGACAAACCAAGTTACTAAACAACTTGGTCCCATAAGAATAAACTTGTCAAATGCAAATATATGCTTAGATTAAAAATGTGGAAGGATATGTAAATGTTGATGGTGGC